AGATTGAACTCGCCAGAATAGACCGTTCTTCCTTTTGCGAGAAGTAGTAATCTATCGAACAAAGCCACAATGTTAGATCTTGGTTGATGAATGGTAAATATGACCGTTCTTTTATAGTTCTTAGCGAGGTTGACGAGACATTCGATGACGTTGAATGCGTTGTATGCATCAAGACCACTAGTTGGCTCATCGAGGAACAATATGCTTGGACTGGTAACCAATTCACAAGCGATTCCAACTCGACGTTTCTCACCACCGGAAATACCACGACCCTTACCATCCTCAGAACCAATCAAAGAATCCTTAATATGAGAGATACCAAGCTGTCGCTCAACTTCAAAGACTCTCTGCTCTTTGGCTGATCTTCCCATGTCTCTTGGCAATCTTAAAAGAGCGCTAGTCATGATCGTTTCGTGAACGGTAAGAGTAGGTAACATGGCATCTTCTTGATCAACAAAACCGATAACACTTCTGTATTCATTATCTGTGACCTTTTCGCCGTTCACATAGAAGTTTCCTTGGACAACACCTCGCTTATTTTTACGAGCAAGAATGTCAAGAAAGGTTGTTTTACCAGCCCCAGATGCACCCATGATTGCCATGATCTCGCCAGGATGAGCGACTCCTTGAACGCCAGTCAAGATCTGCTTTCCATTTATATTGTATGAAACATTCTCAAAGTATAGAGAGGCGGGCTTGTGATCGGTCATTAGCTTGATACTCTCGTCATCGGAATCGTCTAGATGAATAGGGCCGTATTTGAATTGCCTTCGAGACAAGTACCAAACTAAAAGAATAACTGCAACAACAAATAGAGATGCAATGGCAATGACACCTGCGATCAAAGGCGTGTTGATTCTCTTGATAGGGCGTTCGTATCCTGGAACCTCGGTCTCGTAAAGACATTCTCCGGCCTGGCAATTGATAAAAATGCTGCTGTCTCCAAACATTTGTTGAATAAGCAAATCCATCTGAGGTTCCTTGAAAGTACATTCGTTGCTCCCGTCCTTCTGCTCGCAATTAAAGGTTGCAGGACCTCTGATTTCTTGATCGAGGAAGTCCGAAATGTCAACCGATCCATTTTCACCGCAAAGCATCCGGTCTGGAACACACTTGCAAGCAATGTTTTCACATTTTGCGCTGGTCGAGTTGCGGTCGTAATCGTTTTGCGCGCCCGATGTACAAGTATCCAAGGAACAGTAAAACGACTCTCTTTCGTCGACCCAGAATTGAAAGTCGCAGGTCTCTACTTCAGCGTTGCAGGTGAAAGTAACCTGGGGCTTCTTGCCATCTAAGATATCCAGAATTTTTCTGTTTGTGACGTCGCACATCTGGTAGTTCTCCTTTACAACCTCGCCATTTTGATAACAGACGCCTCCTTCTTTTTCTGGCATTAGAGCATTGCATGCCTTGTTGTTCGTACAGACATTGCAGTTGATTCCCGTCCAGCCATCTTCGCAAGCGCATGAATCTGTTGTTCGCATAGGTCGATCCTTTCCATCTGCCAAAGAGCCACAAACTATCAAGAGTCAGTAGGGAAGTTTTCCGGAATTTGCAGCAAGTTTGGCTCACCTGGCTGAAGACAGTCATCGCCACCGAATCCTGGTGGACAAGAGCATTTGCCATTGTATTGATTGCAGTCCGAATATTGCCCGCAAGTGAATGCAGGTAGTAAACAATTGAAACTAGATTCAGTCAGCAAAGATATTTTGGCCTAGAAGAAGAGGCGCAGTACCAAGGAGGACAATCGTCAGGTCGGTCGTCCATGAGAGCTAATTGGGCTTTCATCGAGTCTATCGACGAATAGTTCGTGAAAGCGTGCGCGTTCCATGATAGAGACAGAGTGGCGAGGACTACAGTCCCTAGTTGAAGTCGTTTCATCGTTCGTGGATATTTGCGAAAATCGCGATGGTTGAGAGTGGGAGCTTGCTAATGGAACCAGCTTAATGCTGCGGTGAAGCGACGACTCTTGATGCCATGTAAAGTAGAGGAAGCCGAATGATACTTGGAACGAATAAATAGTATTAGTGAATTTGAAAGAATGGGATTTAAGAGAAACGCTTGCGTGGCAACTCGATACGACTTTGAATGAGAGAATAACAAAATTAATAAACAAAATGAAGCTTGTTATCAAGTAGAGAACAAGAGTTGAACAGCTCAGGTAGTAGGTAGGTAGGTAGGAAGTAACCTTAGAGGTGTCATATCATTTATCTATCATTCAAGTTCATCGGAGGCAGATTTAGCTTGTCCGTCTCCTGTTCTAGTTCTAACAAGCATAAGCGGGGATTGATAAAACCTGGAGCAAAGCAAAGCAAAGCAAAGCAAAATAAAGCAAAGCAGCTGTCAGGAACCAAAAGATAAAAAGATAAGCTGGAAGGGTTGCGAATGGATTAAGTTAGCAATTACGATGACAAAGATCTAGATACATGGTAATTATGTTTGTTTATAGGTTTGTTCATCTCTCAAAGTCATGGACGGAAAGCTGCATGGAAATCTATCCGGCCATTTCGAAATCGAAAGCTCCTATCAATCCTCGTATATATACTCTATGGTAATAAGACTCTCTCTCCAGAGTTTCTCCATCTTATCAATGTCAGATTCATCTTAGATTACAATGGATGTATTCAACCAGCATTGTACATAGAGTAATATGTAAGGGCAAACGTTGTGTCGGAGCTTCGCAAAATTGCCAACATCCATCCTATTGGTTCGATCCCTCACTCTTTCCTGGGGTTGACCGAGGTTTAACAATCTCCACAATGCGATGTCATCCACGCCTTTCACCCATACTCCATGTGACAACGTACTGCTGCAATCTTGAAGATGTAGGTTTGTTTTTCAATATATATATGCTCAAGGTGTCCCATCCACATACCAACATCTCTTAGTCTTCTCCCTAGACAATACTCTCCAACCCATATCAGCCATACCATCTCAAACATGGTCAAGATTGAGCCTTTCGCCGTAGAACAAGTACTGCCCCTCCATTCTCCACCAAAACTGAAATGTCTCTAACATTCTCCTTCCAGTGGATGGACAAATATGAGATCACGCCTGGGGTTCTCAATATTGCCGAAACATGTGCAGCTTCCATCTCCATTGACGATCTCGTGAAGCTATCCGAAGATCCAAATCTGCCTCATCCAATCTCAACCTCGACCAAACTCACATATGGACATATCCGTGGATCTCCCGCTCTTCGAGAACGCCTGGCGTCTCTTTATTCCGCTAGAACTGCATCGGCTCTATCACCAGAGAGTATACTTCTCACGCGCGGTGCAATCGAAGCGAATTTCCTCACATTATATACGCTGATTGGCCCTGGAGATCATGTAGTTTGTGTACATCCCACTTATCAACAATTATACTCTGTTCCACAAAGTCTCGGCGCGGAAGTCTCGCTATGGAAGTTACACAAGGGGAAGAAGTTCATTCCTGATCTAGAGGAGCTGAAGCAATTAGTCAAGGGCAATACCAAAATGATTATTATCAATAATCCAAACAACCCCACAGGAGCTACGATTCCGAAATCCGTTTTACAAGGCTTGACGGAGTTTGCAAAGGAAAAGGATATCATTGTCCTCAGCGATGAAGTTTATCGGCCATTGTTTCACGGAATATCAGTCGCTGACGCAGAATTTCCTCCGTCAATGGTATCCATGCCTTACGAGAAAATTATAGTCACTGGCTCCATGTCAAAAGCTTACTCTCTGGCTGGTATCCGCATTGGTTGGGTCGCATGCAAGGACAAAGCTATCATCGAAGCTCTCGCGGAAGCTCGAGACTACACCACTATTTCTGTGTCACAGCTAGACGATCAAGTTGCCTCGTATGCTATGAATCAATCTGTCATCCACGCAATCCTTGGTAGAAATATCAAACTTGCCAAAACAAATGTGGCACTTGTAGATGCTTTTGTCAATGAACATAGCGAGAATCTGTCTTGGGTTAAGCCAAATGGTGGTACTACAGCTTTCATCAAAGTGGAAAATAGAAGGGAGCCGGTGGATGATGTGCAATTCTGTGTGGATGTTATTGAGAAGACCAAGGTTATGTTCTTGCCAGGTTCTAAATGTTTTGGTGAGGAATTTAAAGGGTATGTGAGAATTGGATTTGTGTGCGAGACGGAGGTCTTGAAGGAAGGTCTGCAGAAATTGGGAGGATATATTAGGGAATATTTAAAATGATGAATATCGATCAAATATTATGATGATTCAAGAGATGTTTCAAATTAACACAAGACCGTAATGAAAATATTATTCTTACTCAGTGCATAGTTATACTGTTTCAGGACGCATCTTCCATTTCATGGTGAGGTGAGCTACTTATTAGACCGGAGTCAAGATCACTAGTAAACATGGTTCCCAACAGTCCGGACTAGCAGACTGATTGTAAACTCTCAATGTTTGGGCGCAAAACAATATTTAAACTAGATGGTAAAGAAGCAATTTTCTTAAAGCAGATGCAAAAATTGAAATCAGTAGAACCTTCAATTTGAAACTGTCACCCAAACTATCTAGATCGCCTAATTATAGTCAGAACTTCAGGGCTTCTGATTGTCGGGTTATGCTCTAAACGCATTAACAAGAACAATATGCACAACTCAAAGCCAGGAAACCATCTCAACATCGCTCATTCACTTATACGAAGCCAGAGATTCAATAGTACGAGCAGAGAATACACGATAAAACCGTATCAATATTCAAATTCTGTCCTAATCTTTGTATTCTCCATGGGTATAAACATATATCTAAAGCATAATCATAATCATAAGCAAACAAACATCGCAATCCCTCCCTTCCTCATAATCATTATCGTCTCTCGTTCCTTCATCTTCCTCGTCGATTCCCTCCTATTGGACCAAACCTTCCCATCATTATTCGCTCATCAATCATTGTCCTCATACCCGCTTCCCGAGCTCGCATCTCTTCCAAGGACAAACACAAAAAACATAACCCTCAATCCTGTTTCTTCCCAGTGCTCTCCACACCTCACCCTCCCTAAGAAATCTCAAGAGCCATTCCCTTCCCCGCCACACCAAGCCCATCCATCTTAACCCCCTTCTTCCCCCCAGAAGAATAACAAATCTCTCTAAACTTGATTCCTCCCTCCCCATTCCCATCCGTACACTCGAACCCCGTGCTCGCATTCTCCCGTTCCACTTTCGCACTGTTCAATCCAATCATACTCTTAACTTTTCTCATTTCCTTCATTCTGTTCAAGCTACCCATCGCAATATCCATCCCGTCCATCTCAACCTCCATGTCCTCTTCAAATTCAACAGCACTTCCATTCAACGCGTTGCCTACAGGAAATCTAATTCCGTTTCCGCTATCAACGGAAGCTTCGAGTGCAGCGGCTTTCGCCATGGCTTTGCTTGTCTGTACGCCATAGGTGTAGAGAGCGGTGAAGACGAGAGAGGTGCCGAGCATGACGTGGAGGGTGTAGAGGACGTAGAGGGTGATGGATTTAGAGCTGAGGAGGTAGGCGAGGTTGGAGAACATTTTTATTGATGTAAGACTTGTATTCGAGGGGCTACTTGTTGTATTTTGAATAGTGGGTTTTTGTGTGGTTTGTTGTAGAGTTTGGTTGATACTCGAAGTCGAAGTCGAAGTCGAGATTGATGATGGAAGTAAGAGAGTGGTTGTTTGCTGATTCGGTGGAAGTTGTATGAGGAGATCTTTATAAAGTGAACTAATAGTTATTTATGATGGTATTGTATTTGTTTGCGTGAATAGTTGGTAAGGTTGAAGTTGTAAGTTGGATAAGGAAAATTGATGTTGAGCAAGTTGAGTCGAGTTGTATGTAGTGCTTCGGAATAGGCAAGAGCAGATGACTTATATCTAAACTTCTAGATTCTTGAAAAACGCGCGGTACCAATGAAAAGAAGAGATTTTTCTTGATTAATTTTTTTTTCAAAGCATTGCCGGGCCATTACTTATTGATTGTTGTGATCTCCCTCAACCCCATATTCTGAAGTCATCGTGAAGTTACTACGATGAATAAATTTCTCCTTGCAAGGAAAATGCTCGCAAAACAATTCATGCCCATAGAACCAGCAAATCATCCCATAATTTTTAGGGAGTGAAACCACTCAAGCGAGCCTAACTGCCAGCACATCCCTCGCGTGAAGGGAGACACACAGCCTTATTTCAGGGGTGGCCACGGTAAATGCATTCATGTCGATAATATGAGCCGCGAATATAGGGCTTAATTTTCAGCGCATAAAGCACTTTTCAACGTCGTCTAATCTTTTCACCGCATGCACTACGTCAGTGCGGAGTCTTTCTGGAACATCTGAAAGAAGGGCAAGGTGATAGAAGATCGTGAGATAGAGATGAAATCGTAAGAGGGGAGAATTAGAGTTTAGTAGTAAGGGTTGAGCGGCATTGATGGTCTCAAACTTCGAATGTTACCCAGCCACCACAATATATCGATTCCACGACTCAGATGCTTGGCTATCATCTGTGTATTATGGGGGATGATAGAGTACCTACTTGATGGGAGTAACATGGTATGATGGGTAGTTCATCGTATGTATGGTGGTCGGGCATTCGTCCCTTCAAAATGGCGGGTCTGAGTGTTTCGTAAGATATTCGACCTCCTGCCATTGACTTCTCATTGATGCTCACATGACTCATTAATAGTGATTTGGAATACCCATTTACCATCAATGAATTTCGAATGTTTCCAGATCGTATAGTCCATTTTTAACTCCTCGAATCCCTTCTCCATACATGAAGCCATCAATATACGCCTCTCCCACAAGAATGTACTGATTATCAGTCTCTCTCAATATGACGTGAAATCTACAACCTGGAAGAATGCATATCAAATCATTTTTGGAGCGGTTCCAGGGTCCAAGTCCAATGAAGCGGCGTCTATTAACTGTCCAACAAGCGGAGATGAGAATTGCTAATCTTCCCTTCTCGTCGAGGCAGGAGATGATGGCAAACTACGCTGAGGTATTTTTTACGACAATGTTGTCGCAAGGGCCTTCATTCGAATAGCGTATTCGGTGTGGTCGTTGAAGATCCAACTGCCACAAGAGATCATTCTACGGAATGCTCCTTGCTCTCGTAGGAGGGTCTTTTCTTAAAGACAACGATACTCCACCATTCTTGTAGAACTTTCAGACCCCAACTATTGTTATCACTAGATTTTAATTCTCTTCTGAAGGATAAGCCGTTCTTTTGGACTCTGCCTATAATGACACCAGTACGTCTCAAAACATATCCATCTTGAAGAAACTGCGCATTAGCATGACTGTCAACGGCAGCCATGAACTGGGGCTTGCTATGTTGAAGTCCGATTATTGTGGGCTGGCAGCTTTGAGGAGGTCTTGTCCATTTCGGTACCCATGAAGGAAGGCCGTCATTGTCGGGCGCTTTTTGATTTCTTTGGTTGACACATATAACATCCAGTCTTCGAGAATCTTGAACTATATGTCTCGCAGTATGCGTATGTACCCGTCGCATTGACAAGGAATAATCGATTTTACCAAAGGTTTCCGGTGAGTTTGATATCCCTGCCAATGCGTACACTTTATCTTTTGGATCTGATGACTTCTTACTCTTGTGGAAAAGCAAAAGCTCAAAAAGAGGAGAGCTGACGGCATCAGGGACCTGATCTCTTGACACTTGCAAGCTTTTTGGTCCCCCAGTGGTAAGAGTTCGTACAAATGATGGTGATTTTAAGTAGATAGACAGCAGTAAGTGTTCTTCTCTCTTCAATATATCGCCGGTGTTACGAAGCTCCATTATAGGTGTACTCTCGTCCCCGCAAAGTACAATTGCTTCTTTGGCACAGACAACTTCTTGAACGACCCATATTCTCCACCAACATTGCCTGCGAAAAAGAGTTATCAAAGCCATCAATTGGTCCTAGATTGACGGGTCATGGAGCATTTTAATCACTTGATTCCTTGCAGCTTTGTTCATTTTTTTTGGCCAGTCGGATTACCAAGGAACTATTATCCTTCTCGGAACCAATCCAAACATGTACAGACTATGCGTTTGATAAATGGTTCTCATCATAGCTATTTGATCATTTCGCTCTGGTACATTGCTCTGGTCAATACAGATGGCATCAACCCATAGAAAGCTTTCGTCATTTTCATTTTGAGCACGTAATCTTCTCCAAGCTCCAACGAGATTTTGGATGCGGAAAGGCGTTTTCCGTTGATACGTATTGACTCTGAGGAAATTTTGGCCCCCCCAAGTATACGAAAGTGCTCGGCTCTATGCAAAGCTGTGTGAATGAGCCGACAACAAACAACATCATCCTTCGAAATCGAGGGAAGACTTCGTAGTAATCGGATCTCATCTAGATCATGTTCCAATTCCTTGTATTGGAATGAGTCCATTGGTTGATTCATCCGTGTGATACTGTGTTGTTGTGTAAGATTGAGAATGATCTCTTTTGGTTGATTGTGTAGCCAAGGAAGTCGGGGGAAAAAGTCTGTCAATGCCGAAGAGGAAGCTTTTGGATGCTATTGATGAGCCACACAAACAGCCTGATCAATCCTCATCACAACCTACAACTGGAACTCATTTCGGAGCCTTCATTTTATTGCTACCTGATTGACGCGCGACAACTCCAACAAACTATAACCATAGCAACGACTTATCAAGGATGCCAGAAAGTGGGGGCTTGTAGGATCCATGGACAACCTTATCTTAAGCTCACCGTTTCTTTTTACAACTCTTTTCAGACCTCCAAGAAAGTTCACACGTGGTTAAAAGAAAAACTAGCACCTTTCGGATTTTCTATCGACTTCTTGACTGTTAACTTCTAGTTGTAGTACGATTGTCAATGTGATGATCTTAAGAAATACAAGATATCACAGACCAGCCATTGGTTGGCGACCTAGATCTTTCACCATGTCCATACTAGGTAGTTCGGATGAGTATATGAGGAATATTGTATGAATCTGGGAACTTCTTCATATCCATACACCTACAAGAAATGGTACATTGAAATATAGATTGCTTTTTAAGAGTTTGGGCCATGTCATTCGAGCCAAATCCTGCCAATTTTGCCGCCTCGCCGGCTCATTACCCTCCCAGGTTATGTTCATCTGACTGTCAAACCAAGTCATTTGTCTATACCTAGGTAGAGGGGCTTAAGGAGGGGAGGGCGGGTGAACCAAAGCATTTGTCAGAATCAGGCATTTAGTCCAGTCGTGCAACCGTGATGAAGTAAACGCTCGTCGTTCTAGACTAAAAGTCGATGACGTTGGTGAGACATCCCCGCATCCCCCACTACTCATACTTTTTTTGTATTCTTCACTTCACTTCATCTCTTTATTCTCTATCAAAGTTCGCATTCCAAATTCAAATCTCAAAGATCTCGAGTCCATTTCATTTATTCAGAATATCATTAAGGACAATTTCAAGATGTCTTCCAATTTCTATCTTGAAGGTACCCCAGATGAAGTCAAGAATGCAAAGGTTAGTGACTACCGGCTTGCCTGTCAAACTATATAGCTGACAGAGATAATGAAGGGACTTCATCTTGTAACAATGTCAACTCCCAATGGCAAAAAAGTTCAGATTATGCTCGAGGAGTTGAAGGCGGCATATGGCACCGAATGTAATGAGTGTCATCTGGAATCAAGCGTATAGGGCCTTGCTAACTGATTTAGACACTCACTCTCTCATTCATATCTCAACTAATGAGCAAAAGAAAGACTGGTTTTTGAAGTTGAACCCGAATGGTATGTTATAATAGAAAGTTGTATGGGAGTTCAATGCTTAGTATCTTGCAGGTCGAATTCCTATCTTGATCGATAACACTAAGACTCCTCCATTTCCTGTTATGGAGACCAGTGCAGAACTACTTTATCTCTTGAAAGAGTTCGATAGCAAGGATATGTTTGGGTTCAAGGACGAGTTGGAGAGAAATGAGTGCCTTCAATGGCTGTTCTTCTGGCATGGTAGCGTAAGATCTTCGTTGCCCTGAAAATGTTGCACGGCTAACAGTTTGATAGGGTGCCCCGGTGAGTTCAAGCATAGAGATGCCATATAACATTGCTATTCTATGGAGAATTACCAAACTCTCCATATTCTCTAAAAAATTCCATCCAAAGTCATGATGCTTTAGCATTACTAATGACTCCAATATGTAGTATCAAGGCCAAACGAACTACTTTTCCAAGATTGCAAGCGCGAAGAATCCAGGTTGGTAGCTATTCGTCAAATTTATGCACAGCATTTAACGCTGGTGGATACATAGAAGCTCTAGAGAGATTCAAGAACGAGACCCTGCGCGTTTTTGGGGTGCTCGAGATTCGCTTGTCAGGCAAATATACTGGTGAGCCTCGTGAGTACTTGGCTGGCAATGGGAAAGGAAAATATTCCGTTGCTGATATTGGAACTTGGCGTAAGTTCTCTAGATAATCTTCATGAGGCCTTAGTTGACGATGAATTTCAGCATGGGTAAGTGGATGGGACTTCTCTGGTGCAATCTCAAAGGAAGATATGAATGCATTCCCGCATGTATTGAAGTGGATTGATAGAATTGCTGAGGTTAGTAATGGTCACTTGAACATTGACTCTTGCTGACAACATTAGCGACCCGCCGTTCAAAGTGGAACTGCCAAAAGATGGCAAAATTGGTGAATTTAGTCGTCCAAATAAATAGTGATTAGGTTATTCACATTTTTCATGCACTTTGGAACAGCAGTGGTAACTCTATGCAGTTATTAGAGTGAATTGGGAGATATGGTGATATAAATGACCAATCGTTATGCTTCAACCTTTTACTAGTATGTATCTGTGAGCTTCCATCTTGGGGCTCTGGTCCAATCAAGAGCTGCTCTATCGTTGTCCATTGAAAATGTGTTCCTTGAAACTTCAGCATTTGCGTTCTCAGTCTGTGTGATATATCTAACCGTCACACCTGAGAACATAACTTCTGTATGTGTTGCCTGTTTGCAAACGCTCCTTCATCGCCTAGCCATCTCAGTAATTGAAATATTGGAGAATGTAATTCTAGACGTGATGGTTTTGATGCAGATGATTCAATCGGCTTTGTACTTGCCCGTTCACTAGCGTTTTAACGGACCTACATAAAGTTCGGCTTCCCGCAGAAGACTTTCTTTTCCTGCAACAACAAACGGTAAACTTCCCGTATTTCCAGTATGGGAGACTCCTGTAATTTCTTTGCGTCACTTGCTTCTTTGCAGGTGTGTTTCAACTTTATCTACCTTTCAAAGGTGCTTTCCATGCAATTGTCAATGATGTTTGTATTTGTTGCAGTTTTTGCTTTTATTTTTTCTTGAGTGTGCTTGCTGTCAAACATACCAATAATAATTATCTTTGTCGGAACATAATTTCGCAGCTACACTTTCCTGAATAAAAAGAGAAAGTCTTCCGTCCCAAACTAGGGGGAGATACACTCCCGAATGTAGAATTTTCAGCAACGAGAAATTACTGCTGTCTCCGGACGTCCATATAAACTCTTTTCTTCCGCGGCTCAACTTTATGAGCAGCAACCGAAAGACTTCAGCAGCAAGAGTAACTTCCGGATATTTTATTCTCAATGTAACCACAGAAAGAATCCTTAGCTTGAACTTGTAGAGCGCCCTTAACTTCACTGTAGGGTCCACGTGGGCATAGAAATCCTTCCTGGCCCGAAGTTGCATCAAAATAAATCTGCGAATATTCACCATTTCTCCTCCCTCCCTCCCTCATTTCTCCACTCTAAATTGAACATTGACTAAATTATCATATCAATCAATATTCATTTTCAGAATACTTTATACTGTCCATTCTACTTCCCTTTCAAATTCAAAAGGTAAACAGCCAGTTATCTTTACAGACAAAAACACCCATAACCAACTCATCCAACTTTACTCATCGATGAATGTCACCGCCTCTCACACACTCCCACTGGCAGAGGCCCGCCATTTTGACGAATGGTTCAGAATAGCTATGACGTGGAAGATTGGAAAGGTAAGGAACCTTGTAGCTTGTCTTGTATTACAATCTCCATTAACCAGCGCTTTCATTACAGAGTTACAGATGTGTGTCCCCAGTAAAAGAGAAAAGCTTTGATGGGAGCAAGGGAGAACCAGTGGGACTCTTAACACCGCCAGCTTCTCCCTTCAAGCCAAAATCCCCGTCTTCCTTGGACTCTCCAGTGTCGACCCGAAAAAGCTCGATCACATCTTCCCTGGTCTCTCCTATCTCTGAATCATCGTTACTGGCCCCATTGTGCCTCACGCCACCAATGGTAGTTACACTGCCCGATTCCAAATCAGCAGTTCAACCAAAGTCTACCTCATCACAGGCAGTTGATCTCCCTGGTTGTTCCAAATCATCACCACCTATACTTCTCCCTCCTTCTCCTCCTCCAGAAAAAGCGCCATTATTCGAGAACGAGTTCTACGAAGTCAAAACTTCCCCAAAGGGCGGTCTAGGTTGTTTTTCCAAAGTGGATATTGAATCCGGAACTATGATTCATTCCGAGGAACCTTTGTTCTTATCTTCAATGGTGCAAATATACTATAACTTTGAACAACTGACAGCGGAAAAACAAGCTGCCTATCTAAAATTGCATTATTGGCAGGGTCTTGCTGCTCATAAGATTCTTGCGATTTTCCAGACTAATCGGTATGTGTATCCGTCTAGGCTATTAAAGTTATTATAGCGCACTTCAACACGTGTGAGATGATTCTATCACTGACTTGACATGTCGATAGTTTTCATGTACCCGGTGGCAAATCAGGGATTTTTCTAAATTCTTCTCGTTTTAATCACGCCTGTCCTGGTTTCTGCAATTGCACTTATGGATTTCGTAAAGATATCAACAAGATGGTATTCACAACCCTCAGTGATATAGCCAAAGGTCAAGAAATCACAATTTCTTATGCGAATGTACCCACTCATTTGTATCAAAACTACGGATTCTTTTGTGATTGTCCGGGATGTCCTCCAGGGAGTTTTGCATCTAAAAAATTGGAATATGAGAATGATCTGAAAAGACAGGCAGAGAAGCCAATTGACGATGCGGACTATTTGGAGCCGTATCCGTATCCAGGGAATGAGGTTGAGGCGTGGGAGAATGACATGTTTGGGTGGTAAATTGGAAGAGTGATAGGAGGGAGAGTGTGAAAGGGGAGAGAGACACTGGGTTGTTGATGGATGTCTGAGGAAGATTTATGGCATGAGAAAAATCATTTTCATCCATTGCTTCAGCGGAGGATATCAAGTTGTTAGATAAGTTACCATAGGAAAATTTGAAGATATGCACTTGACATAACGCTGGATGTTAGTGGTCTTGGGGTTACTGACGGAAGTCCGAAATTGACGTTAAACTATATCATCTACTAATCATGAGGGATGTCAGGGATGGAGCAGCGATTGGTCACCTTTCAGTTGTTGGAAGGTTTATCATTTTGAACATAGAAGTTTGGAAGATCCACAACGATTAATGAAATATTTTCTAGCGAAGTCCATGCAGTTTTCTGTGGTGACACGGCGAGACAGTGGCTTTTTCTCAACGCCTCGTTTGCGCTATTCTGGAAGTGTGAAACTTGAAACAGGACTGTGAGGTTCTGTCTGTAAAAAATAAGAATAACAAAGACGGTAGAAAGGTGGACTCAAATCGAAGTCCATAGTTTGTACCAACTACAGACATAGGTAGAATTCTCAGAGCTTTTACCTCCAAGTAAAATTCAGCATTGATATCTCTAGGTTCCTCTCTCAATGCACAGTTTCCTCACACAAATTCATCCCTTCCATCAGTTTCATCCTACCCATCACACCCACCCCAAATATATAAACCACATACCACAACATCCGAAATGAAAAATCAACCCTCAACCTCCCAGTCGCAAGCAAAATAGGTAGCAAAGGAGATTTTGTATCGTCATTGAAATATCCATCTGAGATAAATGCTTCTGTGGATTCTCGTCTGCGAAGAGCAGAGAGGGTCAATGGGAGGGTTGAGAGAAAGAAAAAAAAGATGGGGGAGGAGGTGGAGAGGGGGAAAAGCGGGGAGAGAGGTGAGCAAGGGGAGTGGGAAGGTGGGGAAGGGGAGGGGAAGAGTGAGGGGAAGAGTGAGGGGAATGGGAATGGGAATGAGAGGGGGAGGGGGAGGAAGTGGTGGTGGAGGAGTAGAGTACGAGAGTAAGTGGAAAGAGGGAGGAGGAGGAAGTAGTAATGGAGGAGTAGAGTGTGAGAGTAAATGGAAAGAGGGGAGCGCTGGAGTGATAAGGTAGAGGGAAGACTAGGGGACTAGTGAACGAGGGTTTGGCAAAATTAGGAATGAAGATGAAGAGTTACAGCTCTAGAGGATAAAAAGTGGTGAATTATAGGGTTATTGATGTGCAATTTTGTGATTTAAGTAGAGCTTAGATCTACGGCAGGAGCTCGCAACTAGAACAAAAAACGTGAGACTGCGGTCGTTTTTCACGTCGGCCAGCCGCTGACTTGTGGTGAACATATATATGAAACATGGCACTGGTGTGAAGTTTCAAAGTTGAACAAGCCCGATTTGAAGAGAACTACAGACTGAGAATTTGGAAGACCGATAGAAAGCTTGCATAGAAAATCTGAATGCATGATTGGATGTTAAGAACTTTCGGCTCAGTAGTTGATACAATAGCACTGGAAGTGAATAACAGCGAGTACTCACCAGCCTACCAACCAGCTCACACTTTACTCTCACCTCATGCTCTCCCTCAAACTCTCAACTCAACTCAACTCAACTCATCTCAACTCAACTCACCATTTCATCCACCATGCTCCACTTAAAAGTCCATACCCCTCTTCCAAAAACATCACGTTCCCAATATCCCCAAAACATTCTCCCTAACAATGAAGGCACTCAAAAGTCAAGAGAAACCCGAACCTCCTCCAACCACCAAAACAGCAAAAGCTGAAGAGCGCGACGCTCTTTAACCCCAATGATCCACAATCGGATATGTTATCCTTTCGATAATTCATATATCCGATCGTGTCACTGTCCGATCGAAGCCCTGACAATGCTAAGTAGAAAGGCGGACAACATTCTCGAGAATGATGAATTCTACCGCTGCGCCATCGAGACGTGTGGGTGCTTGTTGGTTGGTCGCGTAGTGGGATACATATTGGAGGGCGGGGAGTGGTTTCGCTTGGATTGTATTTTATCTCCAAGTTGATAATGATGGATGTAACGTGATTTAATGTCTACCTAGTAGCGATCCATTTACACGTTTACTTGTTATGGAGTTTCTCGCTGCATATCGCCATGACTCTTCAAATCGGGCAAACGGCGAATTCTTCCTTATATATCATATTTCTCTCACCATTGTAGATTGTCTCAAACTTCTTGCACTTGCGGAGTCGTCGCACGATTGAGCCTCCCGGATATGATTGGTAGTCCCTTTCAACAATCATCTGTTCCTCCGAAGTTCAAACTTCGTTTTCCTGCTCTCCATTTTTCACATTGTCCTCCGACTTCCCAGCATCCTTCCTCCTATTTCTATCCTTCGCTTTGCCCTTGATCTTTGCACTAACCGCCTCATGCTTGTTCTTCCACATCCCTCCATACCGATACTCTGGATGTTTGCCATCACCATCTACTTTCCCTCCACTGACATCCTTCCAACATCTACCCGTACATACGAAATGCCATTTTTTCGTTTCATCAATCTGACAACGTATCAACACATCGCGAGGTGTATGGCATATAGTACAGGGTTTGCTATGTGGCGACGGTGAGGTAGACGGCGAGTTTAATTTTGTAGATGGAATTGTCGAGTCTTCGGTATTGATGTTGGAAGTATTCTTACTCGGACCTGAATCTTGATCTGCCATATTTGTATCCGTATACGCGGCTTGGTCTTCCGACATTGTTATGTGATGTGATGTGATGTGATGTGATATGATATGATATGAATAGAATCCTGGCGTTTTTGAACATCATGAGTTCTCCCAAAGTAGAGAGTTCGGATGTCAATGCCGAAGCTCTCCCCATATTTGTGGCTGTGATTGTGCATATATTGTTGCTGCTATAAATAAAGTATGCTGGTGAATTTAAGGACATCATGGGATTACCGGTATTCATCGAGATTATTCTAGAATTCTACAAAAAGCAGCACTAGCTCAGCCACCCTCAGCCATAGCACGTCTACGTCATCTTGATTCTTGACTCCGAATTATTAGAGTTTAATGCATTACCTATCCATGCGACCGGCCTTGGCAAGATTTGGAGCATTGTCTTTGTTGGGGAGAGAGAAAAAGTATATAACGAAGCGGTTTTCATGTAAGTTAGTAAGTTAACTAATCCATTGGTATTAATTATTAATAGTTACTCTTAATTGTAACAATTGAATAAATCATCTTTGATACCCGCTCAAATACCAATCAATCCGACTCAATTCCCATACTAAAGACACAATGGCTGCTGCATCATCTTCTGTATGTATACTTCCTCTCATCTCGCGTTCGTAATTGTCGGGAATTCTCTAACGATTTCGATCTTCACAGGCGGACGTATTTGCATACATTGTTGCAATCTTCATTCCTCCTCTGGCTGTCTTCTTGAAGACTGCATGTGGAGTTGACTTTCTTATCAATATTTGCTTGACCATCCTTGGTTGGATTCCAGGCGTGATCCGTAAGTTTCATGTCCATGTCTCATGCTATGAATTTATCGATATACTTATAAATTGATAGATGCCTGGTATGTCATCTCAAAGCATGACCCAGCTAAATATGCTCCATGAGGAGGGCATTATAGGGGCATTATAGGGGCATCATAGTGGGAATGTTGGTGATGATTGGTGATTCATGGTAATGATAGCTGGGGAGTGGGCGTGTCAGGAGGGATTGGCGTTCGAGGTTGGAGGGAATCTCATCGACGGTTCATTCTGAGATGAGGATATCCCAGGAGTAATTGTTTTAATATATATACCTTTCAAGAGTTATTCGAATTGGTCAATCATGCCACAATAATAAGCATACACTCTATTGATTTATATCTTCTCGCATCTATACAGACCAAATAATTGTGTCAAGCCTTGGAAATTCGATAGATTCTTCTGGATACCCATCTAAGCCCTACAGAGGTAGTAAGATCGGATCAACCGGAAGCCATCAGTCCACTAAGTTGAAACCGATTGATAATATATTGGGTAATTGTTCGAGGGGCGCAGACACCATTATTCTTTGGACTGTCGGACAATTCGAATCCAACACGACTATTGTCGGATTCTTACTAATAAAACTCTTGGAATGATGAATGTCAAGAAAATTAAGAAAAGAAAGGTCCGAAAAAAAGATGTCAAGCATACTTAAGCAGCATAGCCAAGCCAAGCGAAGGTCCCTTTACTTCACCCCGAGAACATATAAATAAATGTCATCCCCTCCATCGAACACTTTCTCTCCTAATTCCCATTGGAAGAATTCCACCACCTTTCCACACAGGAGTTCAACCAATTATTTATGCTATGCTGTTTGTACTGAAATCCTTCGTTTTCAAGGTTTGTATATGATTGGACTTATTTGTTCTCATCACCTCAGCTCTAAGGTATTTATACTCGTGGTCACTGCTTTGCGGTGTCATGGTTACAGTGTATCGCTCGGCGTACATCGCTATTTCTTCAATTGGCATTGAGGAATGCCAGCGAATTGCTTGGACGAGTAGCCCGATGGCTGAGAGAATCATGGCCGGCTCACTCATTTCTCTCTCGGCTGCTCCGTGTTTCGACGGTTAAAAGGTCTGATTGTATCTTAACGGAAGTAATAATTCATATGTTCTCAAAAGCCGGTTTGCTGAAACTGCTGTCGCCAAGCTTGTCGGCTGGGTGCTTGGCAGCTGTGGTGTCAAAAATGCCTTGAATTGTCTCTCCTATAATAATTTTGAGGGATTATTCACGCTACAATCTCATTCTACTTCGATTTCACCGCCATAATCCTGCTTTTGAATAGTGAATCGCGCGTCGTGTCTTTTGTGGTCTGGACCCAACTAATTTCGCAGGAACGAACGAACAATCAAGAAAATCATAACAACCTCGTACAGAGAACGAAAGACGGCAACGACGACCTGCAATTTCTCAGTCATCACGTCCACCTTCCATATCTAAATCGACCATCATGGCTCGAACAGCCCGACCAGCTCATAGACGCAAACACCATACAACCAGTACTTCGGCGGCGCCAAAGGAAGATATCGAAATGGCCGCATCACCGCAAGTCCACGGCCACGGCCACGTTGCTGAGGTTTCAGTCGAAACTAGTACTGGACGTTCGACGACCGCACATCATAACTTATCGGAAACTCTACACCACATGCTACCTACGCATAGAGTCAATCACAAGGGCTACAAAGTTACAAAGGGTATTCAGCCTGACGGAGAAAGTGGTAGACGCGGTATACACCCTTTCCATTTCTTCAAGATATGTTGGACGTCGACCAGTGATGCTTCTCGACTTGTCAACATTCTCTGGCCTGTTGTGCCTGCAGCACTCGCCGTTCGATATGCTAGGGGCGACCTCCATCTGGTGGTTTTTATCCTCAATTACATCGCGATGGTGCCCTGTGCAAATTTAATTGGCTTCGCCGGACAGGAGCTGGCGAGGAAACTACCAAAGGTGTTTGGCATATTGTTGGAAACTACACTTGGAAGTATTGTGGAGATGATTCTTTTTATAGTCCTTCTAACAAGGTCAGGAAATGCCATCTTGTTCTATGTTTACAATAACTAACCTGCTCAAACAGGGATGAATATGGGGTTATCCAAGCTGCGATTTTAGGCTCAATGCTAGCTACCTTACTATTATGTTTAGGAATGTGTTTCTTTGTTGGTGGTCTGACACGAGATGGTAGGCTCAATTCCTCGTATCCTTTGCTGTCTATTGCTAAATCACATTTTAGAGCAGGTATTCGACGAAGCTGTCAGTGAAGTTGGAAGTGGACTGTTGTTGACGGCGTAAGAGACTTTCTTGTAGACAACTTACGTATCGCTGACTGTACAACAGTGGACTTGGCCTCATTATACCCTCGGCATTCGCAACGGCCTTGTCAATGAAAACCTCCGCGGAACTCACAGAAGCGGTCATTGCAAAGAAAGTCCTCGATATATCTCGCGTCACATCCGTACTTCTTATCATTGCTTATGCCACCTACGTCTTTTTCCAGATGCGAACTCATCACAGCATATACGATGCTATTCTAGAAGCGGATGAACAAAAGGATGAGGATCGCCATAGGGATTTGCAAAAAGACAAGCTTACCTTTACTGAGTGTGTTATTGCTCTTGCAATCTCAATCGCTCTAGTAACTCTGATTGCCATCAGTTTGGTCGAACAGATCCCAACAATTGTTAAAGAACATAATATTTCTGATGCATTTATGGGCCTTATCCTTGTTCCTCTAGTTGAAAAAGCTGCCGAGCATCTTTCTGCGGTAGATGAGGCTTACGACAATCAGATGAACTTCGCGTTATCTCATGTTCTAGGCGCAACGATTCAAACAGCACTGTTTAACGGTCCTTTGGTTGTCATTATTTCCTGGGGTATGAATAAGGGGTTGGATCTCAACTTTGAGATGTTTGATATCGTTGTCCTGATCCTAGCAATTTTGGTCGTAGGAAACTTCTTACGAGACCAAAAGAGTAATTATCTAGAAGGAGCTCTATGCGTGATTGTTTACATCATTATCGCAGTGGCCGCTTTCTTTTATCGTAAGTAAAAATATTTGATCGTGGAAATCTTCGCGGTAAAAAGACCGTATTTTCAGTTAAGCTAACTTGTAATTCAGCTAATCCGGAAGAACATGCTGTCGAAGGCGAGGCGACTGGTGCAGCTATAGAGGCTGTTCGCCGTCTTCTTTGATGTTATGCATGAAAAGATTCTGGCCAGGAGTTTTATAATATAAATCAGAGCCTAGCAGTCTTGAAAGGACCGCGATAAGTACTGTTGATACCCATCATATAGTAAGATTGTCAGAATGTAGAGTTTGATGTAAAAATATAGATAGGTTTCACATTTTGATCGCTTTCTAGCGATCAGTCACGAATACTACATGAAGTTTGATTTTTAATCTTTGTTCCAGCTAGCAAGGATTCTCATTGCTTTACACTCCCGTCTACTTTTAGACATCATGTCGCTGATTGTGATCAAGAAGGCATATACGATTATGTCGACTCATATTTAGACACTAATAGCAAGGAAGCAGATGTACTCTGACCATCAATGAAAGCTTGGTTGAGTTCTTCCGGGTGTGCCTAATGGCAGGTCCATGCGATATATCCTTGCCCAAGTGGTTGGTTGTAGAGCCAAGATTCGCTTATCTCTGCGGGAACTTGGAAGGTTTGAGCGTAGTGGCACGCGAGCCTTTTTCTAGCTTCCTTTTCGAGCTTAAATCAGGTCCCCCACTGATTCACCCCTCACCACCTCGGATCAACACTTACTTAGTTAAGAAGGCGCGAAGGTCTATCGCGAGAGAATCGATAAATGTTTAGATAAATTGGCATAGCAAAGACGTTGATCCGATGAGAAGACCAATCGTTCCTTTTCTCCCCATGGGTAGCTAATCGCCGTTTGAGGTAATTGGCATGGTTAACATGCTAGCAACGTAATAGCGAGGTATAATAGATGATGACATACATGATCTGAATGACAATTGCGAATGGCCAAAAAAAATTCTCGTGTTGATCAACAAGCTATCACTACTGCTCAAGGCGCCCTCGGCACCGGTACTATGCCTGGTCAAATATATAAATATGACCGGATTTCCCTCATGACTGTTATGTTGTCCTGTTGTGTGATTCTCAAGTTCTTGTGCGTTTTCCATTGATATCGACAAGATGCGTGGTTTGAATTCCCTAGCAGTTTTGCTTGCTGCCTCTGTTACTTCAGTGGTAGCTATTTTGCCACATCACGAAGCCCATGCAAAATATGCAAAAAGAGCACAGCCAAAGAAAGTTCTCCCCAGGCAACCTGCAGTGAGGCCAAGATCGATCTCGAAGTATTTGACAAATTCAACAGCTTGTAAGTCAATTTCCAGTCCATGCCACACGTTTTCCCTAGAGGGGTGTTGCATGACCAGAACGTGTATTGATTTCACTTCTAGCTTTTGCTGTTAATGGAACTGGACTACCCGAGATCGACTTTGATCTTGGTGAATCATATGCCGGAACTCTACCTATCAGCACCAATGCTAGTGACACAAATCGATTGTGGTTTTGGTTCTTTCCATCCGAAAACCCTTTGGCGGAAAAGGAGATCACAATATGGTTAAATGGCGGTGTAAGCTTATATACCCAAGATCTTCCTCTCCTGTTCTAAAAGAGGTTACTAAATTTTTCTTTAGCCAGGATGTTCCTCCCTCGACGGACTGTTTCAAGAAAACGGACCGTTCAGTTGGCAATCTGGGACATATGCACCTATCCCAAATCCATACTCATGGACCAACTTGACCAATATGATCTGGATCGATCAACCAGTCAGCACTGGATACTCACCCGGAGATATCCTTGTTGACGATGAAATCGATGTTGGAAACCAGTTTGCCGCATTCTGGAAGAATTTCATTGATACCTTTAGCATGCAAGGCTACAAGGTTTACATCACTGGTGAGAGTTATGCTGGACAATATATTCCATACATTGCTAGTAACTTTTTGGACCGCAATGATACCACATACTACAATTTGAAGGGTATTCAGGTGTGTAGCCATGAGAACGAATCATTATTTCGCGTGCTAACCAGATGCTAGATCAATGATCCATCGATCAACGATTTCGATACAATGGGTTCAGCCCCTGTTACAGCTGCAGCTCTGTACTATCAAAATGTTCTCAACCTGAACGATACCTACATTGCAAACATTACTGCACGAGCAAAGTCTTGCGGTTACACTGACTTCCTCGAATACGCATCAGTATTCCCTCCCGCAGGACCAATCCCAACAGCGCCAAGCTCAGGAGAATATGGCTGTGACCTTTACGATGACATTTCCAACGCAGTCTACTACGTCAACCCATGTTTCAATATCTATCATCTCACAGATTATTGTCCATTCTTATGGGATGAACTCGGGTTCCCATCTCTCGGTGGAGGTCCCAACAACTACTTCAACCGTACCGATGTCAAAGAAGCCCTCCATGCGCCAGTTGACGTTGATTACTTCATCTGTGCTGGTGGACCCAACTTATTTCCACATGGTGATAAATCCATTGATTCTGCTCTCGGTCCTCTCCCCTCCGTCATCGAACGCACAAACAATGTTCTCATCGGTCACGGACTTCTCGATTTCCTCCTTTTCGCCAACGGTTCTCTAATCACCATCCAAAACATGACCTGGAACGGTCTTCAAGGATTCCAAGAAGCTCCGTCTTCGACCCAAAACTTCTACGTCCCATACCATGAGTCCCTCGGTGAAATTCTCTCTATCGTGAATGATGCCATTCCCAACGCACCTCCACAGTATGATACCGCAGGCGCGGGATACCAGGGAACTTGGCATACGGAGAGAGGACTCACGTTCTCCACGGTCAACTTAGCGGGTCACGAGATTCCTCAATATACTCCTGGGGCGGGCTATAGACATTTGGAGTTCTTGTTGGGGAGAATTGCTAATTTGAGTGTAGTGGGTGACTATACGACGCAGACGGGAAATTTCACAGGGGTTAGTGCGCCGTTGAAGATGAGGGGTTTGTACTGAGGCGATGAGATGATGAAATAATGAATGTGGGAAAGTTGGGGATGTTAATGATAGTATACTCGCGCGTCTATATGAAGTCTACGGACATGACATTCAAAAATATAAATAGACGTCACATGGAGATCTCAGAACACGTTAGTTAGTATTTAGATAAAAAAATGCAAAACCGTTCGTCGATAAATTGAATCTTCTTTATACACTTGATATGACATCATATGAAGATAGCAACAATAATTTCTAGTCTTCGATCTTTGATCTACAACAGAAAACTTTGTCCATAAAATGACCATCTCTTATTCCTCATTCTCGCTTCATCAAGACAGACATCTTTACTCGTCTTGCTCCTTCTTTTCTCATTAGCCTCTCTTTTTCGTTCTCCCGAAACCAATCCAACAGTCCAAAGTTCACCAGGCTCGCTGCTAAACAGCACACTCGCTGACTATATCTTCATGGTGCCTAGATGTTCGTTATTATAATCTCGGATAGCAGACATTTGACACGCTAAAAAGTAGCCAACTCCCTCTGAAGCTATCTGTACATACTAATTAGGAATCAAGCACCCAAACAACCTAACGATTCAAAACTACGAGTAAAATAGCCTCTAGCCATGGAAAGAAGAGCTAGAGAATCGCATCGAGGTATGCACGGCACTTCTCATAAGCTTTCCAGGGGCGCGAGCGGAAGCAGGATAGAAAGGACGGAGAAGGGCTTGAGCGGATACAGTAAAGGGCCGTTGCTCGTTCACCCCACTTGCTCGTATATTGTGCTCCGTTCACTCAACCTCTAAATGGTAATTGTCAAGGCGGTCGGGGGGATCAAACAGTTTCCCGGAGACGGGGGTTCATCCATATTGTTGAGACTGTGAATGTCATGTTGGGCTTTGGTCTCTCCGGTTGCATTCCTTACTGATTTTGTATGTGGAGGTGTGAGTTGTGAGTTGTGAGTCGATATAGGTTATGAGCTCATTATCGAAGAATGTATGCGCAATGCGCCACAAGCGCCACACTTCACATTCGAGGTCACATGGATGGATTCCCGAGGTCACGAGCATTACCTACCTACCTAGGTACCAATTGCTTCCAAGGTTTCCAAGGTTAACTTTACCTATTATTGACATGTGAGCCAAATAACAAAAACTGCCTAGGCAGGAATCATCAAATGTCCCAACACAAGGACGATCCAACGGCATAGCTTTGACGATATCCATAAATTGTGAGCTGTTCACTCCTCCTCGACATATTTTGTTGAGTTGCCCTACGAAATTCCCCCATGACCTCCCAGCCGAATCTTCAATATCCTCTTTCGATACTTGTACTCCACCAAGTGCTCGATACTCCCAATCCACCATGATTAACAATTCATGGGCTGAGTATGTCTTTATCCGCACTTGCATTTTTGCTCTGCAGAGTATACCACTTGTTAGTTTAGCATATTGTTTCAGTCTCGCATGTACTACTTTCTTCACGAACTACGAATTTTACAGAGTCTCGCGCGGTGTAGAATGGGTGTTTCTGGCCGAATCTTTCTTCTTCCTCTTTTGCTTCCTGCCGTATCGCATTTGGCTTCAACAAGAGGCTGTACATCCACCAGCACCTTCGCGAGAAGAGAGATCGATTTTATATCAGAGGTGTTCGGATAATATCACGGATCCGGAAGCGTACTTGCAGAAATGGTTTTTGGGTGCGGATATCAGGGAGATTAGGAAGGAGAATGTAAAGGAGTTCTTTCTTTGGGCTTTCTTTAATCGTGGTGGACCGCCGGGGGATGATGATGAGGAGTTGGAAGAATATATTGGGGTTTTGGAGAGGCAGTTAGGGAGGGAGATTCCGGAGGGAAGGGGAAATGCTAAGTGTTTGAGGTTGACATTGGATGAGGTTGTTATGTCGCATAGGAGTTTGATTTGGTATTGTGTAAGTGTTCTTATTCTTGATTTGCTGTCAATAGAGCATGCTAAGTTTAACTACCACAGTGTGTCGGGTTTGTTGACTTCTTAACGTTCTGTTCTCTGCGCTACCATGGCTTCAACTTCTACCGCACGAATCTCAAACAATCCCTCAGCATCATTCCCATTCGCCCGCAAAGTCTAATTACTACATACCATTCACCTGCTCAGCATATATCGTATTGGCACCGACCCCACACTACGAAAACCAAGCTCCCAGTCGTTTTCATCCATGGCATCGGCATCGGTCTATATCCCTATACCAATTTTCTTAACGAACTCAATGCCTCCACTGGCACACCGGATGATCACATTGGCATTCTCGCTCTCGAAATAATGAATATTAGTTTTCGTCTCACTCATTCTGCTCTCTCGCGCGAAGAAACCGCTCTCGAAATATCCCAAATCATAAGTCAACATTTTGGGCCAGATCAGAAATTCGTCCTCATTTCTCACTCGTACGGCACGGTAGTGACTACCCACCTTCTGCAATCTCCAGTTTTATCCCCGCGCATCGGTCCAATTGTTCTCATCGATCCTGTCTCCATCTGCTTGCATTTACCTTCTGTCGCATTTAATTTCACTCGTCGAATCCCGAAAGATGCGAATGAGTATCAATTGTACTATTTCGCAAGCATGGATCCGGGAGTTAGTCATACACTGGGAAGGAAATTCTTCTGGAATGAGAATGTGCTATGGAAGGAAGATTTTGAGGGGAGGAAAGTTACGGCAAGTTTGGCTGGAAGAGATTTGATTGTGGATACGGAGGCAGTGGGGAGGTACTTGAGTTGTGGGAATTTATCTGGTAGATCGACGCCGAGCTTGAGGGCCACGAATGGGAATGCGAACGGGACAGTCAAGAGTACTTTCAACGTAAATGTCACGCCTTTGATAGATATTGACGAGTCGGAAGTTGGAGAAGTAGAAAGACCCATAGATGGAGAAGTAATGCGAGAAGACGAAGTGGATATGGAAGATGAGGATGAATGGAAGTATAGAGAGTGGAAGGGTGTAGGAGCAGAAGTTTTATGGTTTGGGACGTTGGATCACGCGCAGGTTTTTGACAAGAAGTCGACGAGGAGAAGAATTATTGATGTTGTGAGGAAATATTGCGAGAATGATTAGGAAATAGGGGTAGCGGGATGATGATGAAAAATTGTTTGCGATTCGAAGACTTTCGAGGGTTAGAGAGGAGCATAGATCAGATTCGATTAAATATCGAAGACGTAGACAGAACAGATGTATAAGATGGCGGAATGGAGGTAGAGGTAGAGGTAGAAGCGGAGTAACAGTTCGAATACATACCTACAAAGAAAGTGCCTCGATTCTCGTTGAATACCTAAACGTCTTACAATATCGAAATCTTGTGTCTTCACTATGAGTAGCGCGTAATGAGTAAATTAGGCCGCGCATCAAATTCGAAATGAACTATTCGAACCCTTATTGGTATACGTTAAACCGTTTTAGAATCCTAATTCAGATTTATATGTAATTTGAAAAACTCTCTTGCCTGTCAAAAGTCGAACAGTCTTCTATTTCAAATACGGAATTCCTTTGAAATATCTGACTTTTCTATTCTTTATTAAATTATGGGTACACACACACACTGAGTAGACAGCTTTCGAATCTCACCTCACCATATAACTCGTCAACTTCCCCTAATACAAGATCCTAGTCTTACATATATTTCGCACACCTGTACAACTGTACAAATATCATTGTAAACATATCCCTCAAAATGTCTACCTATAGCTACCTAGATAGATACGTATCAGTAATTTTGCAACATATCTATCTATCCACCTACTCGCATCCAACTTCCATTCACAATCTCACATACCCAAGAATACTCTGTACATCGTACACAAAATCTAGAACCCTACCCTACCCTACCCTACCCTTTCTGCATACCTAGTACCGTATGCTCATCAGCTTCCCCGCATTAATTAACCTTACCTAGCGAGCGAGCCGAGCCTAGGTTCTAAAAATCCGTCTCAGTATCACACTTACTATTAGCATTCATTTCTACAAGTGCAGCGTGCAGCGTGCTAAAATCTACCTGGTACCTACGGCACGGCGACTAATCAAAATGGTTAGAACGCGGGATGCACAGTGGAGAGTGGAGAGTGGAGAGTGGGAGTGGGTCTAGCTGAAAGGATCGCAAGCAGCTGAAATTCAATGGTAGCGTGCGCGGGGAGGTGCAGGAAGTTAGGCTTGGGGATGTGGACATGGATGTGGAGGGGTCTAGAACGCTATAGATTTTCAGAGAGAGGGGGATATTGGGGTTTATTTTGAATTGAGTGCTTTAGTTAGTTTGGTGGCGGCGTGGAGCTGGCTGAGGAGGGATTCGGAATGAGGTGGCTTTGTGGTTGAACAGTCAGTGTTCATGTAGAGAGTGGGATGCGATGGGAATGGATGGAAATGAGATAAATAGGAGATTCTCAGCATCTTCAATGTTGATGATAGTTGTGTATTGTATTGATGAGCTCTCCAAACATGTCGTCTACAAGTGAAAGTATCATTCCAGACCGCCGAATCAAGCCCGCTCGAAAACGCATCATAATCTGCTGCGACGGAACCTGGCAATCCGCCGTCTCTGGCAAAGAAAATTGTCCATCCAACGTAACGCGTCTTTGTCGCGCCATCAACAGCGTCGCTCGCGATCCACATGATGGCGAAAATTGGCAACAGGTCGTGTGGTATGATTCTGGAGTGGGAACCACATCCACGGGTCTAGGACCCGGACTCGAGGGAGCGATTGGTCAGGGATTGGAAGGGAATGTAATCGAGGCATACAATTTCTGTGTGCTAAATTGGAATCCGGGAGATAAGATTATGTGTTTTGGATTTTCTCGGGGGGCGTACACGGCGCGGACGATTGCGGGGTTGATTTCGGATATTGGGATTTGTTCGAAGAGGCAGCTGCAACAGTTTCCTGATTTGTGGAAGCTGTACAAGCAGAAAAAATCAGGGGATGATGAGTCCAGAAAAAGATTTTATGGCAGCGCTCTGTATTATAGTTGGCGAGAAGGGAGAGTTGCTGATCCGCAACCGGATCCGGAAGAGCGGCCTGATGGGGGGTTGATTTGGGATATAAAGGCTCATGGTGAATGGGCCCCCGAAGAATCAATGGAAGTAGAGGTGGTGGGAGTCTTTGATACTGTTGGAGCTTTAGGGTTGCCGGAAGTGTTTGGGATGGAATTGCCCAAATGGACGACTATTGGTGATAAGCCTGAATGGCACAATGTTGAGCTTTCAGCTAGTAAGTCTTTCCACTGATAGAGCTGCGTTGATTAAGAAACTAATACACATCCTAGATATCAAGCATGCCTTTCAAGCCTTAGCCCTTGATGAACACCGGGAAGCATTCACACCTACTCTTTACTATATCAAAACGCCAGAGGATATTACAGACGCTGAGATAGAGGCACAACGGACTATATCTGATAATGCAAATGTAGAGTGGTGTGATTTGGTTTATGATCGTGAACCCAACCTCGAAAAATTGAGAACTCTGGCAAAAATTCGAGACGAAGCTACTGAAAAGGTCGTTAAGATGGAAGAAAACAATAAGATGAAGAAAGCACTACGCGATGGTGAGAAGGTACTGGAACAAGTCTGGTTTCCTGGCTACCACATACACATTGGTGGCGGATCAAGTGATACGCTATTGAACAAGGATAATATGGAAGAGATGTCCAACATTACGTTAGCATGGATGCTAGACCAAGTTGAAAAATATGTGTCAATTGACAGGGAAACCATAAAGGAAGACGGTTATGATCGTCAAGGGAAATTCGCACGACTGAACAACGAGCGCCAAGTTCATCTAGATAGAGAAAAAGAGCGCGAGCAAGAGGGTTTGGGTCAAAGGATTTGGCGAAATGGCAAATGGGCAGCTTCCAAAGTTGCTCATCCTCTGACTGACGAAAAAAACATTCACTATGAAGAGCGACGACACGCGTGGGGTGTTGGAGATCTGAATGATAGTTTCACTACTATGTATAAAGCCAACGGATCGAAACCACGCACACCGGGTCGCTATGCTCTTGATAAGAATGGCAATAAACTGGGCGAAACACATGAATATATTCACCCGACTACGGGATTCAGAGTGGAACAGCTGGATAAGAAAGCAGAGGAAGCGAGGAAACAGAAGGATCATAGAGATCACAAGAACTGGGAAAAATTGAGATACAGACCTATTGGGCTAGAGGGCGACAAGTACAAACGCCAGAAGAAGGTCGATAAGCATGGAAAAGTGATAGCATATGAGTATGTCTTCAAGTACAAAGATTGTTCAGAGACGCTACCAGAATGGCGGTTGGGTGATGCGAATTGCTATGAGAGGCTAGCTATTGAAGGCTCTGCTGCTTATGATTATGTCGATGAGCTTGATCGAACCTTGGAAACTGGTGTTAAGACTGTCCGTCTTGATTTCTGGGGTGATAAAGCATCGTCGTTTCAAGTCGTCTCTAATTGATCAAGGCATGAGGGTGGCTATATTTTGGTTCGTAAGCGCTTGGTTTGTATAAATTGTGATAAATTGTATATAATTTCGAAGTTGTGTATCCTTATCCAAGGGGTCTTTTATTGATACATGTATAAGAAATCTGATAGTTCTCGAATATAACAAGATAACAAGATAACAAGATAACAAGATAACAATATAACAATAACGTGGTTTAACACCGAGTGCACCATATCACCGAGTGCACCACGAACTTTACATACAAAATACGTCTGTGCGTAACCGTGCACTTTCTTTATTTAATAATATAATTTTTCAAAATTTGAAATTGTAACATTTAATTATATAAATATTATAAAAATTTAATTATTTATTAAAAATTTGAATTAATATAGTAGTTATTATAGGAATAGTTTTTTTGTAACGAAAATCGTCACAATTTCCACTTTTTATAGAATATAATAGAAATTTTTATATAGAAACTTAATACTTTTATAAAAAATATTTTCTTATTAATAAATCTTTTTTGTTTTTTTAAAAAATATTGATTAAGTATTAAAATATGAATATTAGGAAAAGGCTAATTTTGGTGTATTTTGAAGTGGTGCATTCGGTGATATGGTGCACTCGGTGTTAAACCACGTTATAACAATATAACAATATAACAATATAACAATATAACAATATAACAATATAACAATATAACAATATAACAATGTAATCAATGTGAGACCGAGAGACTAGTAAAGAGGACTCTTGAGGGGCAGAAGATAATCAGGGACCAACTGAGTAGTGCCACACTTCTCCTTTAGCGGCCGAGCCCCGCATCCACCCTCAATTTCGTCATTGGTTGATGGGGTACAGGTATATCATGCCCAAGTACCTACCTAGGATTTCCAAGCTACCTCCAGATAAACAAGGCTCTACTCTATCTAATACCTAATTACGTCTTTTGTTTTACTGTAGCAACCAGTTTGTCAACCGAAATTTCCTTTTATAAGGTTATCCTCCCTCGAAACATATCCCTTTACCAAACACATACACTTCTATACGAACATTAGATTCGAATCCTTCTCACCTATTTACCACAAACTCAAGCTCATCCATAATCTTCGCCAAAATGTCGGAGCAAACTCAAGAACCCCTCGTCGATACAAGTTCCGTTGTACGACCAGCACAACACGAGCGTCAAAAGAGTTTAGAGAAGTTGTATGCCGATAGGCCTACGGCTCATGAATTGAAGGAGAGACATATTTTGTTAGATACTGATGCTGCTCCGTATGTTTTTCTCTTTCTCTACGATCCTACTGAATACTATTCCCATCTCAATCCCCATGACCCCCAGTCTGCTATCGTGTTCTGGCAGTATGTTCATCAACATGCTAATTGCGGGGTAAACAAAACAGTGGAATCCAAAGTGCTCAACACGCACTCGAACAACAAAGAATCTCAGATAGTTTGAAGAAGAATCTGGAACATCGTCCTACGAAAGAGGATTTGGTTGAACGTATGTATCTCCTCCACCACAGATATTTTCTTCCCATTTCATATCGATCGAAATGAAAGCTAACACCGAAAACCAGGCAATATCCTCTCCTCCACAACCGCCGCCCCAGGTATCCAAGCACAACAAAAAGAATTGGAGAAACACATGCGTGCGGATAGCTTAAACGAGAAATTAAGTCATCGTCCGCAACCGGAAGAATTGGTCAATAAGGGGGTTTTGAAGGAGGATCCTACGAGTCCGATTGAAGGCGGTAGTGAGATTGCCGAGAAGAGATACGAGGAAGCTATCGAGGAGGAGTATGCTAAGAGAGAAGGAGGTGCTTAGATTGACGGCGAAGGTATTGTGATTGGGCTGAAAGGAGTTTTTGATCTATA